TTTGTCCTACCTATTTCAAAATATTTTTGCATTTTTCGATTATATTTTCAATTTTGCATTGCTCGCATAATTTCACGTCATTTAGACATGTGTCCATTCACAATTTGGCATTTTCCAATTTTTATCATTTCTGACCAATGGGAGCGTGACACGTGGCCTAAATTTGTTTTTGTGAATTTTAATTCTGTCATGTTTTCCTAATATTTTTTATATATATTGTTTGTTAATAGAAATTAGATTTTTAATTTAGAAAATTAATTTAGATTTTAGAAATAGAATTATTTAGAATAGAATTCTTATAGGAACTTAATTAGAAATAGTTTAGAAATAGTTTTTTAATTAATTAGATTTAATAAGAGTTAGATTAGTTTAGATTTAGTTAGTTAGAATAGTTTTTTATTATTAACAGAAAATCAATTATTAGTAAAAAAAATTAAGAAAAGAAGGTTAGAAGTGAAAGGCTCATCGTTGGGCCCATTGAGAGAAGAGAGAGGGACACGCTATAAGAGAGAGAAGAATTTCAAATTGGAAAGAACCCTAATGACTACTGTAAATCTTCTTCTAAAAAAAAGTTAAAACGACGCCGCCCCAATTCCAAATCCTGAAACCCTAATCCACTGTTCACCTTCCTCTTTAATCCCTAAACGGCCGCCGCCCCTCGATTTCATCCGTCGCCACCCCCACTTCATAAACCTTCATCTTCTCCCATTCTGAAATCCTTCTCCTTCGAACTCTTTTTGCCCTCATCCTCAAACCTTCTCCTTCCTCACGAAAGAACAGAGAGAAGGATTTTGTTTCCCAGTGAAACCCATAACCCTCAATCCCACCATGAAACCCCTCTCTCTAAAACCAAACAGCCGCTGTTTTTTCCTTCCGCCGCACCATCTTCTCCTTCAAAATGTACAAATCGGTCGCACAAACCCTAGTCCTCTTCGTCTTCCTCCCACTTCATCGTCTCTCCGGAAATCTCACCGATTGAGGGTTCTTCTCTTGACGTCGAAACGGTGATACGCATCTCAATGATAAGCTCAAAACAACAAGCGCTAGCTTCAGTAACAAGCGGGAAATGTGGCGGCGTCATCTCTCCGACCATTCAATAAATGATGCAGCATTGTTACGTAACTGTATCTCGTTGTCGGTTGGTCTTCTTTTCTGAATTTGGTTTCATGTTAATCATATATCCTTGTTGTATCTATGCGTGAAGGCTGTGAGGGATTTAATGGTGTGTTTATTTGAATTGATTTCATCTGTTGTGTTTATTTTAAGTTCAAATCTTAAGTTTTTGTGGTTTATGTTTAAAACAAAAGTGTAAAAAACTGGTTTGTAAATATTTTTTCTTCTTCTGCAATTTAAGATCCACAAACCGATGGATATTGTGAGACGTGGATTCAAGGGCCTTGTGTAGAGTTATTTTCTGGTTATTGACGTTTATACGCAACTAGCTTAGTCTTGTTGGTTTTTTTGTGCTGGTTTTAACATGTTTAGTGTTTTCTAAATCTTAAACTCAGTAGGATTCAGGTGTTTCTTTTAGGATTGTTTTTGTTAGTTCCTGTTATAGATGTACGTTGCTGTTTGAATGTGCCGTTGTGTTGATGATTAGATTTTGTTTTAAATTTACCACTGCAGTTGGTGATATTCCGCCTGGTTATCTCGGTACGAAATGCCACCATGGTTTTCATGTGAAAACTTCGTACGGATGCAGTTTTTGTTTGAATCCAGTCTCACTATTTTTTTACAATTCTGATATGTGTATTTCATCCACAAAGTTATTATCCATGGTTTCGGGGTTGTTGTGTATTCAATATTATCAGCTTATACCTTTTAGTACATTTCATTAAGGATTTCTAGCATCCATAATTATTTTCCAAATTAAAATAATCATTTATTAATTAGTATATGTCTTTAGATAATTTAAATTTTTTTCTTTTTCTAAATAAATTTAAATTTTCAAAGTTTTATTAATTAGTTTATTTTTCTAGAAAATCCAATAATTTTCAAATAGAGAAATTTTTTTTCTAAATATTTTTTTACAAGTTTATTTTTAGAAACCAATAATTTTTCAAACAAAAGTTTAGGACCATTTCCAATCTCTTCTTTTTTAAAAACTTGAGTAACCACTTTCAAAATATAATTATTTTTTTAAATCTTAATATAACTTATTTTCAACATACAAACCATTTTCTCAATTAAATCATTTTTAAAATTAATAGTTTTTCTAATCTTTATTCAATTTATTTTTCATTACTAAATTATTTTTCAATCAAATCACGAAAAAACTAAATCCTTGAGGTCTAACACTTCTTGGGTTTTTGGGCGATTATTATCAAGGCGTACACCTTAAATAATGTATCGTTCGACTTTTTGTTTTTTTTAAGAAAACACATTCTTTTTGGACAAAGAAATATCATCGGAATCTTGCATTCCGTGTGATATTTCCTTTGTTTATCCAAACATTTTCCAAATGAAAAATGTGTCGTTGGGATCTAGCATCTCGATAATACCCCGATTAATTGGTTGTAAGGTCTACATCTCATTTATCAAATAATTGTCATTTCTCCTAAAACTTTTCAATTTAAACCTCATTTTCTCGCCGCTCACACACAAATTATTTTCATACCTTATCTCAAAATATTTTCTCGATTAAACTTCGAAAGAAGGAGGTTCTTGGAATCTAGAATTCCTTGAATCTTCGTGTGAATAACTCTTGAGACATGCCCTTGGAATGCTATTCATTCAATCTTTCGACTTTCTCAAACATTTTCAAACATTCTCCTAAGTCGAGTGCTCGTACGCATTCGCAACCATCGACATTTTGCACACACATTCACAATTCATCGTGGTTTCGATATTAGGAGCACCCTTAGAGACTAATATCGTTTCTCACGATCCAACCCTTGACACGTCGTCAAGTCGGTTCCATTTTCAAACAAATCCTCGACACGTCGTCGAGCCATTTTCAAACCAACCCCCTCATTCCTCGCCTTTCACCCTTTCTCGCACCATTGTTGATTCAATCTTTTTACAAACGTTTTTTCAAGCTTATGAAAGAAGGATATTCTTGAAATCTAGCATTCCTTGAATATTCGAATGAGTAACTCTCGAGGCGCGCCCTTGAGTTATTATTAGTTCATTATTTCATTTTCAAAACATCCAACCCTTTATCTTCAACCTATTCAACCCAATTTCCAAAAGAATTGATTTCTTGGAATCTCGCATTCCTTGAATTCTTGAGTGACAAGCTCTTGAGGCACGCCCTTGGGTTACTTGTCAGTCACTCTTTCGTCTCTCAATTCAGCTTCAAACCCATTCAACCTCGTTTCTTTTCGTGGTTGTTACCACGAACTACGGACGTTCTAGTTCTTCATTCATTCTTGAATGTAAGATACGTAGGCACAAGATTGCGATGATCTTGGCGAGCACACTTCTATCTTCCTCCATTATTCCGTCCACCATCCCATTCTTTCTTGTAGTCGAAATACGACGCTCTGATTTCTCATTCTCGTCTGAATGAGCATACGTAGGCACAAGGGCCCAATCCTTGGCGAGCACCCTATCCTATAACCACCCATTTTCCCTTAGCGTCTTTATCCCGTTAACCTACCAATTCGCCTTCACCGATGAGAAAAAACAAGGAAACTTAGACAACGTTCATCACAAAATACCCTAAGAGGTTCCCGTTGAGTATAACGGACGTGAGGGGTGCTAATACCTTCCCCTTGCGTAACCGACTCCCGAACCCGGAACATGGTTGTGACAGCCTTGTTCCTATCCTTTCGTCTTAAGAGGTTTCTCGATATTTTCCTCTCCCGTTCATTCGGGATAAATAAAGTTCGGTGGCGACTCTGTTAAACCGCATTTCCGCGCCTTTCGCGCGAGGGTCGTTTCTCCGAAATGTCTCCGTGATTTTTCGAGGTGCGACAATTATCAATTAATTTTTAAATTTTTCTGTAATTAATAAAATAAAAAAAAGTCTAATATAAAACATTTTAAAGAGTTAAGAGACAAATATGAATCTTTTTAAAATTAAAAGCCTAAAATAAACCTTAAAGTTGAAGTTAAGAGACAAATGATATTTTGCCAATCTTTTCTTAACATAATCATTAGAAGAACAAATAAAAACAAACTTGAGAACTATTAGTCAAATTTTTAACTATTTTCCAACAACAAAATCTAGTACTATTTTAAGCTTTTCAATTGGTCTAAGAAAATTATTGAATTGATAACATGTATATATCTTGCTATATATTTAATATTAATGAATAAATTTAATTATGATTAAAATATTAAGGAATTATGACAATAATATTTAAGAACTTAAAGATATTTGTTTATAAACATTTCATTAAAACAAAAAAGTTTTAAAACTAATCTATATTCAATCTGTCAACGGTAGTTTTTACGATATCTACGAGAATTATTTTTCTTGTAATCCTTGACTCAGAAATTTTTTTTTAATCGAAATTCGAATACCCCTAATACTTATTTAATAAAACCTTATTTTTTATATATATATATTGTCTAAATTCTGACTAGAAAAATATGTCATCACATGAAGAGATACATACATTGTTTTGTGAGAAAATTTTAGTCCTCAGGTTCTAAGAGTGTAGAAGTAGTTCTTCCATTAAATAAAAATTCCAACAGATGGTGGATCCTTTTGACCCTAATTATGCAAACTTTTCTTACCTATGGGATTAATTCTTACCTATGATTTGAATTTACTTCCTAAACTAACTTTTATCTTTTCGAACATGTAAACTAGCTTTAAAATGAAATGGAGAATATTGGTGAATTCTTTCATGTTTCTTCACCAACTACACCAACCTAAAGTTATGAGTTGGGTATACCGCCCAAGAAATACATGCATAGAATAGAGCATACACTTAGCTTCTTAGACTTAACAAATGATAATGTCCCTATATCTATAATAACCCATCAATATGCATCATTATTTACCATCACTTTCTTAATTATACCATCTCTTGCAATTAAGTTTAACAATGGCTTCAAGAAATGGTGAAGAAGAGAAAGTTGAACTAGGCTTCAATGATGTTCATGAGACAAAGACAAATAAGGATTGGATCCTTTTGTCCCTTAGAGTGGTTGCTTTTTTTGCCACTACAGCTGCCACTCTTGTCATGGCACTCAACAAACAGACCAAGAGTTTGGTTGTTGGCACCGTTGCTAACAATCCAATAACAGCTACTCTTTCTGCAAAGTTTAATCAAACTCCAGCTTTTGTGTAAGATTTAAACATCATTGAATATATTTTGTTCCATAACGTTTCTAAAAAAGTATGTGTCTGTGTGTCAGTGTCTGAAACTGCTTTATAGATATTTTGTTTATATAGTTTGATCCATATATCATTGTGCGGTGATACAGGTTCTTTGTGATAGCAAATGCAAATGCTAGTTTCCATAACTTGGTGATGATAGCATTGGATGTGTTAGGACCCCAATATGATTACAAAGGACTTCGTCTTGCATTGGTTGCAATATTAGACATGGTAAAAAAAAGTTTATTCCCATTAAATTTACATAAATTCTACAAATATTTTTTTGAATTTTGATTGAATAATTATATTTTTTTTTGGGAAGTTAACTATGGCTCTAGCATCAGCTGGAGATGGAGCAGCAACATTCATGTCAGAACTAGGAAGGAATGGTAATTCACATGCAAGATGGGTTAAGATATGTGACAAATTTGAAAGCTATTGTAATAGAGGTGGTGGTGCACTCATTGCTTCATTCATTGGCTTCATTCTTCTCTTGATTATCACAGTGATGTCCATTGCCAAGCTTCTTAAGCCAAATCGCATTAACCATGCTATCAGTCCTTGATGATATGATATACATATATACCTTTATGTTATACAAATGAATCTATGTTGTTTTTTCTATGTTGACTTTTATTTGTTTGAGTGTTAGTGTTTGATATATGTAATTAGTTATACTTGAAAGACAAATAAAATAGTGCATTATGTACAACTTCTTTAATTTTGAAAGTTTTTGAACTGTCGTAATTCTAAACTTGTGTAGACATGATTTTATACCAGACTAAGAAATTTATAGAAGTTTATTATTATTATTTTTTACTTTTTTAATTATTATATATATATATATATATATATATATATATATATATATATATATAATATATATATATATATAATAATATATATATATATATATATATATATATATAATAATATATATATATATATATATATATATATATATATATATATATATATATATATATATATATATATATATATATATATATATATATATATATATATATATATATTCAAGAATTGAATCTTGGATCTTCAATTTCTTTTAAGTTCCTTAGCTGAATAAATTTAACTTTAAACCAATTGAGCTAAACAATTATAATCTATTGGAGATACTTAGTCTTGGCTAGAGTTATCGGTGCTTTAACTTAACTTTATGTGAAAAGTATATGATGTTAGTTATGTTATAGTTAGGAGTTAAATTTAACTATAATAGTTAGCCTCTGATGTGGTAGTTTTTCACTTATTGTATAAATACTTTGTTCCTTATGTATTTTCAATGTAATCAATGATATTCAATTAAAACTCTCTCTCTCTCTCTCTCTCTCTCTGTATTTCCAATGTAATCAATGATATTCAATCAAAACTCTCTCTCTCTCTCTCTCTCTCTCTCTCTGTATTTCCAATGTAATCAATGATATTCAATCAAAACTCTCTCTCTCTCTCTCTCTCTCTCTCTCTCTCTCTCTCTCTCTCTCTCTCTCTCTCTCTATATATATATATATATATATATATTTATCTATCTATCTATCTATCTTTAATATGGTATTATTCATAGAAAACGATCTTTCGCGCTTCCATTCTCTTTGAATCTTCGCTTCACCCTTTTCATCTTTGCGTATCGTGTTGTCTCTATTAGCTTTGGTGCTTCAAAATTCATTAATGGAGTCTCCAAAAAAATCAAGAATCAGGGATCAAAGATCCAACTCAATCTCAAGAAATCGCTATCGGATTTACTTCAGTAAAATCCGCAAAGAAGGATAACAATTTTTTAACAGAATTTGTTTTGAGAATCAAAGCCATAGCAAATTCTCAATCAAAGCTTGATTGGACCAAAACTCTCAATCAAGCTGCAAGAGAACAACTATTTGCTTTGGAATCAGCAAGTAGAAGGAGTGATATTGACGTAGAAGATGCATAAAGTTATTTTCAATCCTCAAATTCAACATAAATACAAATCGACTCAGGATCGTATCACAGGTACATTCTCTGATGAGTATAGAGCTTGGATTATTCAAGATCAAATTGCGTTCATCTGACTATAATCTACTATATCTGAATTTGTCTTACCCAGAGTGTTAGCATGTAAGCATGCCTTTGAAGTTTGGCACAAAATCCTTCAATACTTCAATGCCCAAATGAAGGGTAAGGTTCGTCAGCTGAGAGTTGAACTCAAATCTGCAAAGAAGGGTAACAATTTTATAACAAAATTTGTTTTGAGAATCAAAGCCATAACAAATTCTCTGTTAGCGGTTGGAGATACTACTACTAAACAAGATCAAATAGATGCAATCTTAAATGGTCTCTCTGAGAAATACAATCCCTTTGGCAATCATGTGTCACCAACACTTTGTGATGTTGAAGCGCTTCTTTATGTGCAATAAGCACAATTGGATAAATTTCGTCAGGAGTTGGCTGCTACAACCACTGCTGCCAACATTGCTCACACAAATCATGAAGTAGGTAGCTCTAGAGGAGCGTTTTCAGACAACAATGGAAGAGGTAACAAGTTCAATCAGGGTTATGGCAGAGATAGAGCTAGGCCTCCAACTGGCAAACGACCTACCTGTCAACTTTATGGAAAATATGGCCACTCTATCACAACATATTGGCATTGCTTTGATGAGAACTTTATGCCTCAAAATACCAACACTACTCAACCTAATCATGTCAGTGTCATACCCTCATTTTTACCCAACATTCATAACATCCATTCATCCTACATTTACATTAGCCTCATTTGATCATTGGGAACCTAAGCATGGGGGTTCATCATTTTGAGTATGAGGGCTTCCCCTTGATTGTTTTTTTAAGGTTTCTCACTAAGGTCCTCCAAAACATTGGATTAGGGTTTGTATTAAGTGCATCTACCAATTGGTCCTGGGGTTTATTGTGATTATTGTGGATCATCTCATTAGGGTTTCACTTTGGTTTGTTCATCATTAGAAGATACAAGTCAATGGTTCATATTTTTTTTTTTACTTGGGTACAAGACATTGGTCTTGAAGATACAAGTCAATGGTTCATGTTTTTTTTTACTTGGGTACAAGACATTGGTCTTCATGCAAGGACTTGATGTAAACGTGGTGTGGGGAGGATCTTTGATTTAGTTTAAGGCACAATGATAAGAACCTTGACCTCGGTCAAAGCCAACCTTGAAAAGTTAACTTTTTGACCAAAGTCATACTTAAGCTGTCTTGATTGGTTTGCATCTTACCTTATGATATTGATTCAAGTTTGCAAAGGTGGAGAAAATGTATGCAAATTCAAATTAAAGCATAACTGGAGGGAAAGAAAATTCAAATATTACTTGAAGAAAGGGACCATTACATGATTCAAAGTTACATGTATGTAATACAATTACACCATCCAATTACCATCCTATTTCAATTTGCAAAACAAAGAAAAAACATTATACATCACATTCCACAAACTACCCAAATACATGGATTTATTTCCTACACTAGTTTCTTCCTAAAACTTCATAACTTCATCTTCATCATGATCTTGATTCCATCCAAGCCTTGCCAAGAACTTCTTCAAGCTTACCAATCATTTATTTTGTAAACACCAAACTCAAAGCCTGCATTGCAAAACACATTCCAATAATCCAATCATGTTTCAATTAATCAGGCATAGCATAGTCAAGTTCAAACTATTTAATTTTCCACCTAACCACTACAAGTTCAAACATGCCAAGCATAATTGAAGTGAATTCAAAGGCACTAAACCAAAAAACCACAATTGAATAATTCACATTAACTAACAACTAACTTTGTATTTAACAACTTCTGTAACAATTCACCATATAAGCACCACTGCTAGTGAATAGTTAACAGGTTCGTACACTAATGGACAACAGCTCCAATGTCATCTAACACCAGCCCATTTAAAACATTTCAAACACTAACAACAACAGATTTTCATTCAGAAGGCAACTACATTCGCATTGTATAAGTTGTAACAGAAATTTAACACAACAAACAAATTTCAGTAATACATCATAACTAATTGCCTCACATAATGGATTCCAAACACTTCCCAAAATTCATCAAACCAAAATTCACAAGAGAAATTCGCAGTTACAAATGAACACCTAACAAATACAACACAACTGCAATACCACTAACCTCACCTCTAAGCTGCAAAATAGTTAAACATAACTAACATCATAACACTCTTTTCACTTCATAACCAACTTATAACTAAATTTTAGATTCTCGTAACTAACGAATTTACATCACTAACCTCATTCCCCAACTTATATAAATACAAATCAGAACCAATTATCCAACTCTCTCAATCATTTTTTCACTTCACCATTCATTCTATCTGATTCCTTCTTCACTCTCCCACTCTCACTCTCCCTCACCTTCTCTACAAAACTCTCTCTTCCTCCATGGTTAGGCAACTGTCACATTGAAGCTGCAAACCAGAGCTAAGCCTCACTCTCAATTGACTCTTCTCTCACAGTAACACCACTTAGAACTCTCTGCATCACAATAATTCAACAAGATCGCACAATAATAATTCAATTCCTACAGACTAAGGGTCGAGAAGATGAAGATGAAATTGGGAAGAATAGAAGCAAGAAGAATCATCAAGGAGACTAACCTGAAGTCTGCACATCTTCGTCACCGCCACTCACCTTCGAGGTAGGTCACAATGACTTCTTTCATCTTTTTCTTGATACCAAGAGAGAGAGAATTGAGTAGAACGTTTCCTCTATGGTCTTGATCCGGGATTGAGCACCATAACCATTTAATTTTGGTTTTTCAGTTTGTTAGGGTTTGCTGTTTGCTTAGATTTAGGTTTAATTAGAAAAAATCTAAAGAAACAAAGGTTGGATTGAGAGAGAGAGCGAAACGAGGCGAAGGCAACAATGGTTTCAATTTGTGTTTCTGCGATGTAGTCGCCGCATACGCCGCCATGAGGCGTGCCGACGCGACGAAGATGTTGTTTTTCTGACGTGAATTTTCAAGAGAGGGAGATGCATAGTGTAAGTTGCACATATGGTTTTTGTGGCTTGTCTAATTCCTTAATGTATCATGTGTACCGGATTGAGCTTTCAAGCCCATCCATAGTGCATGATACACCTCTATCTTGCATTGCACTTTTGTTAAGTGCAAATTTTGACTTAAATTGAATAATTTTTTTTAAATATTTTTCAAATTATTTTTCATGTTTTAATGAATTTATTTTATGTTCTTGTGTGATTCTTCTATTATATTACAAATATTTTTAGATGTTTTGATATGTGTGTTATTATGCGAATTTTTTTTTATAGTAGCTATATATTAGGAATTAAATACCAAAATATTGAACTTTTCAAACAATTTACCAAACTAGCTACAATTCAGCATTGTTTCGCCATACCAATTGGCGAAAACGTGTAATTGGAATTTTAGAAAAAACAAGTCGCCATACCAATTGGCGAAAGAGGCAAAGTGATTTTTTAAGTTTTTGCTGTTAATTGTATTTTTAATTTTTATTATTTTATTAATTCCAATTAATGTTTTAAAGTATTTATCATTAATATTTTGG